GTTTTTCTTACTTTAGATTTAAATTGCTCTTCTTTTTGTAAAGTAGAAACTTAGATTATTGATTTTTGGTCTTTCTTCTCATATATGCATTCAGTGTCATAAAGTTCCTTCTAAGTACTGCTTTTGCTGTGTGTCATGTATTTGGATGCGTTGTGTTTTCATTTTCATTTAGGTTAAATAATTTTTCATTTCTCTTGATTTCTTGTTTGATTCATGTTGTATTTATAGGTGTGTTATTTACTCTCCAGGCATTTTAGGATTTTCCAGTAGTTCTTTTTTCTACTGGATGTTCCAGTAGAAATCAGTAATTACTGATTTCTAGATTAATTCATTGTGCTTTGAGAGTAGATATTATATGATTTCTATCCTTTGTGAAGGATAGAAGGTGTGAAGGTGTGTTTTATGGCTGAGAATATGGTCTATTTTAGTGAATGTTCCAAATGAGCTTGAAAAGAATATTTTTTCATGTTATAAGAAGTAATCTGTAAAGGTCAATTATATCCATTAAATTGATGATATTGTTGAGTTCAGTTATGTCTTTAATGATCTTCTATGTACTGAATTTTTCCATTTCAGATAGAGGAGTGTTGAAGTCTCCAACTATGTTAGTTATTCATGTGTATTTCTTTGTAATTCTATCAATTTTTGTCTCTTGTAGTTTAATGCTCTGTTTTAAGGTGCATACACATTAAGATTTCATAATGTCTTCTTGGAGAATTTACCCCTTTATCATTGTGGAATGCCCTTTATCCCTGATAACTTTATTTGCTTTAATGTCTGTTCTTTTGAAATTATTAGAACTACTCTTTTTAAATTTTTTTTATTTTTGATTCTTTCTTTTTTAAGATGCAGTTGATGGTGCCTGGGTGGCTTAGTCTGTTAAGTGTCCGACTTCAGCTTAGGTCATGATCTCAATGGTTCATGGTTCAAACCTCACGTAGGGCTCTGTGCTGACAGCTCGCAGTCTGGAGCCTTCTTTGGATTCTGTTTCTCCCTTTCTCTCTGACCCTCCCCTGCTCGAGCTCTGTCCATCTCTCTCTCAAAAATAAATAAACAATAAAAAAAATTTTAAGATATAATTGACATATAACATTATGTTAGTTTCAGGTGTACAAAAATGATTCAGTATTTGTATATATTGCAAAATGGTCACTACTGTAAATCTCGTCAATGTTTGTCACTACACATAATTACAATTCTTTTTTTCTTGTGATGAGAACTTTTAAGATCTGTCTTAGCAACATTTAAAGTTTTTTTTTTTTTT